GTACGGCGGCAAAGAGAGGAAAAAGCGTTGAGCCACAGCCATGGAGTGCAAGAAAACGCAGGAGGAGCCAAGGCGAATGGCACCAATGACGGCAAGAATATTGGCGATATTTTGGTTTGAAACCCGAACTTTGAACACCCCGGCCCATCCCCGGAACGAACAACTGTAAGGCGACCCGGAGGAGATGCAAGTATCCGTTGAATAGCATTCTGCATGAAATAGATATTGAAGCGGGGGTCGCGGCATTGAGGAGTTACCCAGACGAAGGCCGTCGACGGGTAGGGAGCAATGAGGCTAGGGACGACGGAGGTATGGAAATCGAGGAGCAAACGGTCCCGCAGAACTTCTGCCGGAAGGTCAGGCAGCACCGGGTTGTTGCGCAGACGGGCGCCGCCGGCAGCTCCAAGGCGGGGCCGAACGGACGACGGCAAGGCAGGACGCGACGCGACGCAAGCAGGGGCGCTTTAGCTGTGGGTGGGTTTGGCAGTGGTGGAAGCGGTGGATTTGGTGGTGGTGGGCGGCCCGGCGGAGGGTGGCGCGGGATTCGTCAAAAAAAATTCTCTGTTCTCTTGGGTTTGTCTTGGGATGCCCTGACTTGACCTCGCTCATCATGGACTGCATGATATGAATGCCTGCTACTCTGCTTCCTGCTTGGGCTCGCAAGAGCAGTGCCATCAGCTGGAACGTGTTCACGTTATCATTCCCGGCCAACCAGCTCATCCCTCGTGCACAATCTAATATATGCCAACTTAAGAAGAGATAAACGTATCCTGATCAAGGCCTTGCTTAGTTCGCGAAAATTTTTAAGAAATGATACTGTAGCACTTTCGTTGTTATTTGGCTATTAGTGTCTAATCATAGTTTAATTAGGTTTAAAAGATTTGTCTCGTGAATTTTGTCTAAACTGTGTAATTAGTTTTATTTTTTATTTATATTTAATGCTTCATGCATGCGTCTAAAAATTTGATGTGACGGAGAATCTTGAAAAAATTTGCAAAATAAAGTGCAACTAAACAGCACCCAAGACTCGATGAATTAAGCAATTAGCTCAGCCTTCCACGGCATTGTGGAAAATATAGAAACAGATTCCAGTTTGAACTAAACTTGTCATTGGGCCTAGAAAAGTCAACCGGCGTGTTCGCTGTTTGGTTTCTGAGCTAGTTTGGGCTGACAGGTGCTGATTTGTTGTGAGAGAAAAACACTATTGGCTGATTGAACAAGCCTGAATGAAACCAACCAACGAACTGGGTGAACGAGGTCTGTTATCCACAAAACACTAGCAGGCTGAACCCATCTCGATAACAACGGTGGCCTCAAGGATTAGGGTCCTTGGATAAGTATTAAGAGACCGAGACTACAAGCATGTTGAACTAAATTATTATTGGTTTATTTATATTCTTGCATGTGTTGCTCATCTCGTCACTACAGTACTGTAACTTGCAGCTTCATTGCCTAGTCATTATTGATCCCCACCAACGTAAGCATAAACTAATCCACCATTGCTGCTCCGTCATCTCCACTGCAGTGACCGAGACCGCCATTGCTGCCTCCAAGTCCACATGCAGTGCTGTACTCGGCTGAAGTTTAGTACCGGTCACATCGGATCGGATGTTTGATATTAATTTAGAATATTAAATATAGACTAATTACAAAACTAATTACGCAGATTGAGACTAATTTACGAGACGAATCTATTAAACCTAATTAGTCCATAATTTGATAATATGGTACAATAGTAAACATATGCACATATTAGTCGCGGTTTCTGTAATTAATTTTATAATTAGCTCATATTTAGTCTTTCTAATTAATATGCGAACACCCGATCCGACACTCCCTCGAACCAAACAGCCCCTTGACCCGCGCGGCAGCTGAGCCAAGTAGTGTTGCCGAATAAATTCTCCACTTCCGCAGTGTCCTGTTGTCCATCATTGGAGGTTTGCTTTGGTGGCGCCAATAAGTGGAGGAAGGAATAGAGAGGATGCTTCAGTAGGAACGAGGGACTGCTCTTTGCGTTCTCAGCCGGCTCCTCTCTTTCTGCATCCTTCCAATTCGAATTGGTACGCTATTTGTTTGGGTCAGTTCAGTGGCTTCAGATCTGTTCATCTTTCCTCTCTACTTTCATGACTGATTTAGTGAGCTGCACCGTTTTTGTTGGATCTAGCTGGTTGAAGAAATCCTGTTCGGAGTGGAAGTTCACATTAACACCTTCTGTAGCACTGTGGTCAGTGTGCCGGCTCTGTCCTGTCTTGAAAACCTTATCATTGCCTTCACTTACTAATAAGATGTTCTGGCGCCTCCTTTCTGTTGTCATAGTGCTTTCCTGGTAATGCAGAGGGAGAGAGAGAGAGCTGAAGCTTGATTCGGGACAGTGTAACCATTTCTGTAGGATAGCAAAACAATTTGCATTGAGATCTCTTTATGCAGCACTCTGATCACTGCCTTACCGACTGTGCAGTGTTCAGTTACCTCTTAAAATTCTTATTTAGTGTTAATTCTTCTTGTTAATTAACTACATGCTAACATGTTCTTGTCATAGGTGTTGATCAACCAAGCAGCCATTTAACCTGCTAAGCTGTTCTACTTGTCCCCACCCTTTGCAGGAGCTGCCGTGTGATCTGTTGGTTTTCGTTCACTTCTGGTGATCGAGTGATGTTCCTCAGTGATCGAGTGAAGCTCCTTCCCTCACTCTCTTGAAGATCTTAAAAGTACTCACGGGTTGTGATCTGAACAAACTGCTCCTTCAAAGATGATTACTACGGGTTCTTATTATCAGACTCTTTTCCTTCTTGGTTAAGATTAAAAGGATTCTCTTTACTTATGCAAAGTTGTGCTGAAGAAAGGCACTGTCCACTGAACGGGGAAATATTGGTGAACCTGTAGATACTAATCTACATAAATATTTTCTGCAAGATTTCATTTCCTGCTTCAGAAATTATGCAAATGAGAGGAGGAACGGAAAGCATGATTGAGTAGCCACTGCTGTTTTGGCTTTCAGTGTTTCACTTTCTGACACCTCCCCTGGTTCTCTGCATCCTTTTCAGTTTGGTAAGCAAAACATAAATCAGTTGGCCCATAAAGGTTTCAGACTTCTTCCTATCGTTCTCTCAGTTCATTCCTTTTTTTCTCTCAGACAAAAAGTCGCATAGACTTACTGGTTTACATCCGGATCACTCTGCTGTCAGTTCCTCTAGCTCTCAGATGCACATGGAGTGTTAATTGCTGTGAAAAGCTCCAGGGGATCAAGTTAATTAAGAAACAGTTATGATGTCATTCTTCATTTTCCCCTAAAACATGCCATATTTGCACGTGCTGATCACATAGAGATTGCAGAAGTTTGATGCTTGACAGAGCACCAGTTTCTTTTGGACAACATCCAGTTGGGATCAGGAAAACATGCATCCTGTTACAACCAGTAGCTAACCATATGTAGGTATATCTTTCCCAGTTCTAATATCTCGGATTGACTAGTGGTGTTTACTCTGGAAAAATATATTAAGTCTATTGATTCAATCAAGCTTTCATTCTCTCTACTTTTTACAGTTGTCGTAGTGTGATCAACTGAGACCGAGAGTCCTCTGTTATCTATTCTATATATTGGTTTCTGAAGCTGTGGCCTTCAAATTTAATTGGGCTTACTAAGTGACGATCTTCAAGTAATGATGGGTTGATCATCTGAACAAACTGCTTCTGTGATTCTTATGATCAATCACTTTTCCCAATTGTCTACGTTTTCCAAAGATGGGTTGATCATCTTCAAGTAATGACTACATTTTTCTAAGGTAAGAGCTGTAGGCGTGCTTCTGATATTATAAGCTTGCATCCATGATGTTATTGTTTTTGCTGATACATGTTTCCTTCTTTTTGTACAACTGTCGGTACTTATACGGACAAACTGCTTCTGTGATTCTTATTGCCAATCACTTCTAAGATGGCTTTTTCGTCTAAAAGGAAATAAAGTGCTTAGGCTTATAAAAGAAAAACAATAAGCCCATGAACTGGTATGGCACCAATCCAAACATAAACTATTACCCATGTTTTAGGTCTGCCAACAAGGTTTTGGTATTGCCAAATTGTGGTTTGACTCATGTTAGACTAAAAAGCTAACAGTTAGTCCACATTCCTTTACAAGCTATCTAATTCTTACTTTCACAAATGCTTCTTACAATCTTTATTTAGCACTCGTTCGCCGCTTCAGGTACCCGCACGGTTTCTATTTGGACTCCTTCAACTAAATTAGTTTTCTTGCATAGCTGATTGAACTTTCCTTTTCTCCCATGAATATCTCTCCTTTCGCTGCATGTCAGCTTCTTAATCCCTCTCTTTCCTTGCATGAATGCCCATAAATATATTTGAGTAGTTCATCCTATTTATTAGTTTCTTTGCATGACTTCTGAATTTCATTCCCTGCTAGCCAGGCTTATTATGAAAAAGGGTCTAAGCTAGTCAAGGTCAGGGCAAAAATAGATGACTTCGAAAAATACTTGAGGTTTTGTTGTGTGATGCTAACAAGCATGCCTATGGATGATTCAGAGTATTTCTTTGAAAGTTTGGATTATTCAGAATTACCATTTCGGTACCTCACCATGCTTCTATATTTTACAAACATCATAACTGATACAGTTGATGATTTTTATAGTAGTTGGTTGCAAAAGCTACTTCTTGACACCTGAACGCGTGATAGGTATTACGCACAAATTAGGAGATATATGTAGACATTTAGATTTTATTAACTTAAAATATATATATGCTGCAAAAGTGACCACAACAAGCCTTTCAAAGATCAAGTTTATTAACTTAACAAAAATTTAGATGGAAAATAAGTAGTTATATCTTTCTTCTCTACTACAAGAACAAACTGTGTGCACCTTGTGCAATTTGAACCCACTTTTGTGTTCATTAATTGGCAGCCTACAGCTCTGCAAGTTTGGCCACTCTAGCTACAAAATAAGTCGCTTTGGGTGCATCTCATTGATTCATTCTGTCTACTTATGGCAACCATGCTTGATCCTATTGTTGGATCATGTGCCAAGAAGTTGCAAGATGTAATAACAGAGAAGGCTGTTATGATTCTAGGGGTAAAAGAAGAGCTCAGAAAAATGCAGAGAACAATGAAACAAATACAATGCTTTCTCCATGATGCTGAGCAAAGAAGGACAGAAGAGTCAGCGGTTAACAACTGGCTTGGAGACCTGAAAGATGCAATGTATGAAGCCGATGATATAATAGATTTGGCTAGATTAGAAGGAAGCAAACTGCTAGCAGACCGTCCATCATCATCTAAAAACATTGCTTCATGTACAGGCTTCTCATTTCTATCTTGCATTCCTAATATTCAAAGACGTCATGCAATCGCCGTTCGAATAAAAAATTTCAATGTTGAACTTGAGAAGATTTCAAAGCTGGGTGAAAGATTTTTGATGCTGAAGAATATGCAACCGAAAGAAGAGAATCCAGTAGTGAGGCAGATGAAAACTTGTGAGCTTGTGGAGCCTAACCTCGTGGGAAAGGAAACTTTTGTTGCTTGCACAAGATTGGTGGAACTGATTCTGGCACATAAAGAAAATAAGTCATACAAGATTGGCATTGTTGGAACGGGAGGTGTTGGAAAAACAACTTTGGCTCAAAAAGTATACAATCACCAAAAAATAAAAGGCACTTTTAGCATGCAAGCGTGGATTTGTGTTTCTAAAGAGTACTCTGAAGACACTCTTTTGAAAGAAGTTCTTCGAAATATTGGTGTAGACTATAAGCAAGATGAAACTGTTGGAGAACTTAAAAAAAGGCTTGATACAGCAGTTCAAAATAGAAGTGTATTTATTGTGCTTGATGACATATGGAAACATGATGCATGGACTAATCTACTAAGAACTCCATTAAACACTTCATCTACAACAATAGTTCTTGTGACTACACGTAATGATATTGTGGCACGAGCAATTGGTGTGCAGGATGTTCATCGAGTAGAATTGATGTCTGATGACACAGGATGGGAGTTGTTGTGGAAAAGTATGAACATTAATGAAGAGACTGAAGTGGCAAACCTAAGGGGTCTGGGGAATGAGATTATCCATATGTGTGGTGGCCTTCCCCTTGCAATCAAGGTTACTGCTAGTGTTCTAGCAACCAAAGAGAAAACTGAGAATCAGTGGAGACAACTTATAAACAGAAGTGCTTGGTCCATGAGCAAAGTTCCCATTGAGCTAAGGGGGGCATTGTATTTGAGTTATGACGACCTTCCAGGGCATTTGAAGCATTGCTTTCTATTTTGTTCCTTATATCCAGAAGATAGTAACATGTCTCGTAATGATCTTATAAGGTTTTGGGTTGCAGGAGGTTTTGTACAGGAGCAAGGAGAGCAACTTCTTGAGGATATAGCTGATGAATATTACAATGAATTGATATACAGGAATGTCCTTCATCCAAACCCTCAATCTGCTGATTATTCTTTATGTAAAATGCATGATCTTTTAAGGCAGCTTGGTCAACATTTGTCGCAGGGTGAATTTTTTTGTGGACATCCACAAACATTGGAAGATAAAAATTTGTCCAAACTACGGCACATTTCAATTTTTACTGATAGTGATTCTATAACTCTCCCCAATGGGAACAAAGAGGATATTAGAGCCCGAACATTGCTTATTGGTTGGACCAAGTCAGCAAGAGTTGAAAATACAATATTCAAAAGACTTCCATGTGTTCGAGTTTTGGATTTAACTAGATCAATTATACAAAGTGTTCCAGATTCTATTGGGACTTTGATCCACCTTCGGTTACTTGATTTTGATGGGACTGACATATCCTATCTTCCCGAGTCAATTGGTTCTCTTAACTCTTATGTTGTCCCCTTCCCCAGCAAAGAAGAACTGGATCGCATGATAGCAATAGACACCATCAACACAAAGAACAAGGAAGGCACTATATCTTTTGCTGAGTTTGTGGATGATGTGCAGCCTATTAAGGTGTTGGAGCAGGTATGGCTAAATGTCACCGGTGTCCCTAGGCGCTGCGTTGTTCCCTATCATTGTGGGCGTGGGGACTATTGTTGAGCTCTACGAGAAGGTGGACATGGTTCATCTCTCAGGCAACAGGTCAAGCCCGCATTCTAGTGGCTGTTTTTGACCCCAAGAAGATACCAGGTATGGCGGACGTTTGTGTTGGCACTAGTATCTACCGCCTATTTTTCAAGGCGGAGGAAGATTTACAAGCCGACACCGGTGCTGATCCGTCTGATGAGGACTTGTTGAGTGATAAAGATCTGGAGGAGGGAGACCGTGAAATGGAAGATGCGGAAGATCCTAACCCAGAACCCTCGGGATAATAGGAAGTCTTCCCAACAAGCACCATGAAAGCATACTCAAAATGTCCCACCTATGCAACAGGCAAATCTAGTAGATGAAGCTTTGGACTTGGCCTGTGAGCAACTCTTGGATGAGATCAGTCTTAAAGTTGCTTTGGAGTCTGACCTGGGGACTACCAGGAAGAGTTACTCTCCACCAACACAAGAAGAATTAGCGTTTTTTAACTCTAATAATACTCTTTTTTCTTCTGCTGTTGTGCCACTACCTTCGACAAAGATTGCTAGTACATTTGTCGACGCTTCGGGTGAGGGAGGAGAGGGCTTTACTCCGCCATTGCCCTCCCCCTCGCCACCGCTGGAGCTGGTGTCTCTTGCTGCCCCTATTGATATAGGGTGCGGCCTCGTTGGGGGCTCATCGGAGGCGGCCCTCTCTTCTACTTCTACAGCGGTGGAGACCGGTATCATGACGTCGGTCCCTGCAGCGGTGGAGGAACAGTCACGCCTCATTGCACAGGGACGTGGCCCGCACCCCCCCACCACTGGAGGTCACCGCCTCGATGGTGCCTGCACAGGAGGTGGCTCGGCCACATCGACGGAGGAGACGCCCGGCTTGACTCTGTCGTCACCCAATGTTGAGGTGGCTCGGTGATGGAGTCCACTGCTGCGGAGGTTCGGGAGGAGGGGGCCCTACCGCCACTCGCCCCCGCCCACGCCGGACGGGGAGAGACAGTGGTGGTGCCGGCCTCTGCACACAGGGGAGAGGTAAGGGACTACCGCCATCGCTACTCTCTCCACCCAGCCTAGAGAGGCTGTGGAGACGCCATCGCCTGCACTGCTGCACCCTCTCCCCTGCTACGACCTTGGGAGAGGGCGGTGGCACCAGCCAGTGCATCTCAGCCGTCTTGGAGGCAAGACATTGTTGGAAGGAGCGGGTGCTACCTCACCATCTCTTGAGGGAGCCTCCAATCCCACACCTGTGGTGGTTCCCATCAAAGAACTACTGACGGAGCACCGTAAAGCATAACTTTAGCGGATGTTCATACACTCCATAAGGCGGAACGTTTGACGGCGAAAAAAGAACCTCAATTCTCGGGTAACTCTTTTAATACCTTTCCAGATTCGAAAATTATTTCAAACCTTGGTAGGGTAGGCATCAACCTAGAATCCTCTCATTGTTGCAGTTTTAAAAATATTATTGAGGTAGCTAGGTCAGCCTTTTGTCAAAATACAAAAAAGGTTGTTCTTCCTCTAGGTGCTCTCGATATAGAGAGTGATGTTGAGAAAGAGGACCACCTTGAGGGTATTCTCAGCCACGCTTGTGGAGATCTAAATGAGAATATGCCGGTTGTTGAGTTGGATTCCATCATTGATGCACCACCTCTCAAGACAAAGAAGATTTATAACAATGCCAAAATTCGTGGCAAAGTCAAACTTCTTAAAAAGGCCAAAACCCCTTCTAAAATCATTATAAAATGAAGGGAGTTTTTACGGAATAGCAGAGGTCTTGCAGACTTGGCTAAACATAGGTACTTGAGGGAACTAGTTAAGGAAGAGCAAATCAATTTTATTGCAATTTCCGAGACCGGACGTGAATCCTTCCCAGATCATGTCCTCAAAGATCTTTGTAAAGGGACATGAGTTTCTTTGGCACACCATGGCCCCCATGGTAGATCAGAGGGCATTCTTTTAGGGGTTGATCTGAATTTTTTGATATTGGAGCAATAGATGAGGGAGATTTTATGTAAAATTCACCCTACGGTGCAAATCTAATGACTTCAAGTTCGTACTATATACGATATATGGACCTGCCCAAATTCAAAACAAGAATGCTTTCCGGTAGAACTAGCTAACACTTGCTCTAAAGAATCTTTTCCTTATATAATAGGAGGGGATTTTAATATAATGCGAGAGCGAGAAGATAAGAGCTCAGGGGATTTTGACTATAAGTGGCCTAATCTTTTCAATGCTGTCATTGATTCTCTGGATCTTAAAGAGATTGTCATGTCAGGCCGCCAATATACTTGGGCAGGACCTGGAGATGACCCGACTTTTGAAAAGTTAGACAGAGTCCTTGTGACCACTGAATGGGAGAATCAATTCCCACTCACTACAGTTGAGGCTAGAGATAGAAATATCTCTGACCATACCCCTCTCGTTCTTAGCACTGGCCACTCGACCCACCAGTTAAATAATCACCCTTTCAAATTTGAGAGAGGGTGGCTATTAAGGGAAGGGTTTTATGGTATGGTTGCAAATATCTGGCAATCTCCTTGTTCAGGATCAAATTCTCTGGAGCGGTGGCAATCCAAAATCCGCAGACTCAGACAGTATCTGAGGGGATGGGCTAAACATACTGCCGGGTCTTATAAAAAAGAGAAGAAGACTATACTAGGACGCTTAGAAATTCTTGACAAGAAAACTGAGACTTCTCAGTTATCTGATCAAGAAATTAATTTAAAACATTATTTAAAAGAACGTCTAGTTAATCTGCTGAGAGAGGAGGAACTCAAGTGGTATGAGCGTGCCAAGGTGAAAACACTATTGGAAGGTGATGCTAACACTCGTTTCTTCCATCTAGTGGCTAATGGGAAACACCGAAAGCAGCATATCTACAAACTTGAAAATGATCAAGGTGCTGTAATTGGTGATGATTGCCTCAAAAGCCATATTACAAACTATTATAAGAATCTCTTTGGGTCCCCCGAACAATCTGCTATCACTCTTGAGGAGGATCATATCGTAGATATTCCTCAAGTGTCCCCGGAAGAAAATGATATCTTAATTAGTCCATTCACCGAATCTGAGGTGAGGGATGCAATCTTCCAGATGGAACATAATAAAGCTCCAGGACCAGATGGTTTTCCTGCGGAATTCTATCAGGTTTTTTGGGAAATTATCAAGGAGGACCTTCTTTGTCTCTTTGCAGACCTACATTTGGAGACACTCGATCTCTACAGTTTGAATTTTGGAGTCATTACTCTAATTCCAAAGATTCAAAATGCCACAAAAATTCAGCAATATCGACCAATTTGCGTCCTCAATGTGAGTTTCAAGATATTCACAAAAGTGGGCACAAATAGACTGAATACGGTTGCCAAAACAGTGGTGAAACCAACACAGTCGGCCTTTATGCCAGGTAGGAATATTATGGAAGGTGTGGTAATTCTCCACGAAACCATCCATGAATTACACTCTAAGAAAAGAAACGGAGTCATTTTCAAAATTGACTTTGAAAAAGCATATGACAAGGTCAAGTGGTCGTTCTTACAACAGACTTTGCGTATGAAAGGTTTCTCACCTAAATGGTGTAGGTGGGTTCAGAATATGGTCTCTGGAGGAAGTGTGGGGATTAAAGTTAATGATGACATTGGCCCATACTTCCAAACCAGAAGGGGACTCCGGCAGGGTGATCCTATGTCACCTATCTTATTTAACATCGTCGCTGATATGCTAGCTATTCTTATTAATAGAGCAAAAGCGGATGGGCAGATAAGTGGAATTATCCCCCACCTGGTTGATGATGGTTTATCAATCCTACAATATGCAGATGACACCATCATGTTTCTAGACCACGATCAAGAACAAGCGAAAAATCTCAAACTTTTACTATGCGCCTTTGAACAATTATCTGGGCTCAAAATTAATTTCCACAAGAGTGAGATTTTTTGCTTTGGGGCAGCCAAAGAAATGGAATCCTTCTACACTGATCTCTTTGGCTGTAAAGCGAGGGGAATACCCTTCGAGATATCTAGGCATCCCTATGCACCACGGCAACTCCTTAATTTCGAATGGAGAAAAGTTGAAGAGCGATTCGAACAAAAGCTCTCATGCTGGAAAGCGAAATACTTATCCTATGGGGGACGTCTAGTACTGCTTAATTCTGTATTAAGCAGCCTACCCATGTTTATGATGTCTTTCTTTGAGATCCCAAAAGGAGTTATCAAAAAACTCGATCATTTTAGGTCGAGGTTCTTCTCCGCAAGGATCCTCGGAGAAACATAAATACCGCCTTGCCAAATGGGATATCATTTGTCGTCCCAAGGATCAAGGTGGACTAGGTATTCTGAATTTACAACTGCAAAATAAATGCCTACTAGCAAAATGGCTAGTGAATCTCATGAACACAGAAGGCATATGGCAAACGCTATTACAGAATAAATACCTAAATTCAAAAAGTTTATCCCTGGTCACGGCAAGCCAAATGATTCACATTTTGGAGAGGCCTCATGCATATCAAGGATGAGGTGTGGCAAAAGGTTCTTTTCGATATTAAGGATGGAACCACGGCTAGATTTTGGGATGATGTATGGGTAGGTGCTAGGCCTCCGAAAGTTCGTTATCCATCTTTATATAATATTGTGAGAGATCCTCACGCTACAGTCTCAAAGATAATGAGCACTAGCCCTCTGAATATTTCTTTTAGGAGGGCTCGGTGGGTAATAAACTTACTGTAATGGCTTAGTCTAGTAGCAAGTATTTCTCATGTCGAACTAATAAATGGATCTCGATCATTTTAGATGGAGTTTAACCAGCTCAAAGTTCATTCTCGGTCAGATCCATGTATCTCAACCTTATAGATACAAATACATCTTTTCGGCATAGGAAGATTTGGAAGATAAAAGTTCCTCTAAAAATAAAAATTTTCCTCCTGGTTCCTACAAAGAGGTGTCATTCTTACCAAAGATAACCTGTCTAGAAAAATTGGAAAGGGAGTCGAATTCATGCGTTTGTTGCAATGGGAATGAAACTATTCAACACTTATTCCTGGACTGCCCTATTGCCATAATGATTTGGAGGATTATCTTCTTTGCTACTAGTTTAACTCAACCTAGATCAATCAGCCACATGTTTGGTAACTGGCTGTCTAATCAAAATAAAAGGATTAGAAATTTGATTTGGGTGGGAGTGGCTGCTATGTGTTGGGCTATTTGGAGATGCCGTAATGATGTTGTTTTTAATAAAATAAAATCTAACTCTATTATGCAGGTCATTTCGGGGGCGTCTTTGACGTTACGCTTCGGGCCCAACTGCTGGCGTGTAGAGCAAGCTAAGGACGCGCTCTCGACAATAAGCAAGAAATTAGAAGTTATTGCTCTAGAGATATCCAATAACGGATGGAAACAATTTTATTGTTTAAGTTAGCGTCTTGGTCATGTTATAAGACCTTGGCTTTCTTTTTGGTTTTATCATTATCTGTAATTTTGGGCTGTGTACATCTACGGATGTAGAGGCCGGATGTTTATCCATTATCTAAAAAAAATACCTTCAAACACTGAACTTGCAGCAGTGTCCAAATTTGCACAAGCTTCCTTTGGCAATCTCAAAATTATGCAATTTAAGATGCCTGGGCCTTAATGGAACACCAATAAACCAGGTTCCAAAAGGAATAGGTGAATTGAAGTCTCTCAATGATTTAGAAGGATTTCCAATTGGTGGTAGCAATGTTAATAGTGATAGAATGCAAGATGGATGGAATCTAGAAGAATTGGATCCACTTTGGCAGTTGAGGAGGCTTCGTATGATCAAACTGGAAAGAGCAGTTCCTCCTACTAAAGATTCACTGCTAGCAAACAAAAAACATCTCAGAGAATTAGGGCTACGTTGCACTGAACACACACATGAGCCATATTCTGAAGATGCTGTAATCAATATTGAGAAAACTTTTGATTTGCTAATCCCTGCACACAACCTGGAGCATCTCTTTTTTGTGAATTTCTTTGGCCGGAGGTTTCCCACCTGGCTAGACACTGCTGCCCATTTGCCTTCACTGACATATTTGACCCTCCTTGATTGCAAATCATGTTTGCATCTTCCACCAATCGGTCAGCTCCCCAACTTGAAATATCTACAAATCAAGGGAGCCACTGCAGTCACCAAGATTGGACCCGAATTTGTTGGCTATGGGGTGGGTAATCTCAGATCTCCAGAGGCAGTAGCTTTCCCCAAGCTTGAAATATTGATCATTTGGGATATGCCCAACTGGGAGGAGTGGTCCTTTGTTGCTGAAGAAGAAGAACAAGAAGCAACACCAGCAGGTAAGGAAACGGTAGAGGATGAGGCTGCTGCAAATCAAAAGGAGGACGCCCCACCTCCAAGGACGCAGCTGCTGCCACGACTGAAGAATGTGGAGCTTATCCGCTGCCCCAAGCTGAGAGCTCTCCCACAGCAGCTTGGACAGCAGGCCACCAGCTTGAAGGAGCTCCGATTAAGCCATGTGCACAGCCTTAATGTGGTGGAGAACCTCGGTTTCCTCTCAGAGGTCCTTTTAATCGCCGATTGTGAAGGCCTAGAGAGGGTCTCAAATCTTCCCCAGGTGAGACAGCTGCGTGTACGGCTGTGTCCCAACTTGTGGTGTGTTGAGAGGCTGGACAACTTGCGCCAGGTGTTTCAGACAGAGGATATGCAAGGTGTCTCCTCATCACATTGGCTGCCTGGACTCCAAGAGCAGCACCGACAACTGCACGGAGAAGACATGGATGTCAACATTTGGGCCGTAGCACTTTCGTTTTTAGAAATTTGGCTACTGTAGCACGGAGAAGACATCGTGAAATTAGGCTACTGTAGCACGGAGAAGACATCGTGAAATTAGGCTACTGTAACACATGGGCTGCACGGAGAAGACATGGGGAAATTTAGAAATTTGGCTACTGTAGCACTTTCGTTTTTATTTTGCAATTAGTGTTCAATCATGGACTAATTAGGCTCAAAACGTTCATCTCGCAATTTCCAACCAAACTGTGCAATTAGTTTTTTTTCGTCTACATTTAATGCTATGTGCACGTATCGCAAGATTCGATGTAATAGCTACTGTAGCACTTTTTGGAAAACTTTTTGGGACTAAACGAGCACTTGGATACAGTGAACATACAGAATGCCGAATCATATGGATATGAAGATGTAAGCTATGACCATTGGCTGAATTTTCTAATTTGGTTAGACGTTTATCTTCTCTGCTTTTAATTATCCGTGCCCGTTTCCTTTTTTTTTACTGGTCATCAGGCGTTGAGGACGGAAGTGACTAGACGCTAGAGGCCATCAAGGCAGAGGAAATATTCCATCAGGTGTCTACCCATGGATGTCTGGATCATGCTGGGGCTGGGTACGGACGCGTGTCTCGTATCATGCTGATGCAAGGTGTTGCAGAATGTTGTGCTCTGCTTATTCAGGAAGGAGAAGATGCCTGCCTGCCCACCCGCCTCGTCAAGTGGCGGAATGTTTCAATCGTCGCCTGCCCTGTGAAGGGCCCGAAAAAAGAGGCAACAAGGTGCATTTTGTTTGAGGAATGCTCTGTGGATATGTTTCATTCAAACGTATGGTCAAACTTTTTCTTTTGCGGGGAGACCAAACATCCATTTAAAAGTTCGGATTGTTGAATTAAATCAAAGAAACGTCGTCCCTGGTGAGGCGTTTTCCAGTGCATGACCTCAACTTTTTCAAGCACGCTGTTATCTGTGACCTGATCGCCACGGTAGGATCAGAACTCGGTTGAATTACCAAATCTAGGAGTCGTTTTGAGAGGTTGTCACGGAGAATGCGTCGGAGTCAATCGCCTTCTACTTGTACACACGGGACATTGCGTGAACGCTCGGCTGTGTGCAAGAACATCTCACGCAGGCGACAACACAGGCGTAGCCCGTCACTTACGCTCGTTCGTCCTGCTGGGCTTCACTCAACAGTTTCGCAAAAAAAACTAACATATCTCTCTTTGTCTTTTCCATGGGTCCCAAGAATGTCACCGTAGTAGGCACTTGCCTTGCTCTGCTTCTACTCCTATCGTGGCCCTCCTGTCCTGCTCGAGGCGGCGATGGTCCGTCGCTCATTCCCCCAAACAGAGGTCCAAGTCGGCGTCGTGTGTATGGCTGCAGTTCGTGAGAGACAGAAGAGTAAACACTCTCCTGTTCAGTGCAAACGTTGCTCTGTTTTCCACTAGCAACTCTGCTGACGGTAAACAAACAGCAGAGAGGTGTTGCGAGTGCTAGTGTCTGCAACTGGAGTCAGTTCTGGGCGACGCATGATGATGCCAAGCCCAACACTTCACGGAGGATTCTGTCATGTAGCCTTGCGGCTGAGTGCGTGCCCATCTGCCGCTAATCGAACTCGATTTCCTTGCAAGCGAATTCGCAGTGCATCGAGGAGGTTAATTCACTTTATTTCTGAAGATGTGCAGAGTCAGATTTTAGGCGTATGTCGACCACCTGTATGTACATGTGCCCCTGCAAAGTTCCACTGTTCTAGGACTGTAGTTAGGCTATTTGAACACATCAGCCCCATCTCGACGAGACTCCCCTCATCACAAATTTTTCTAGGCCAGTTAAGGTTGTCTTTTATTCTTGATTGTGATCGGGTTTTTTTTATCTGAAAAAATTAGGGGATTGGGAACAAATAAGCTTTCTTGCATGAGTTTTTCATCAAATCCTCGTGCCATCACCAACCCATAATTACACAAGTAAAGGATGGACGGACGACTGACCTACTGTTGCTTGGTCCACCGCAGAGTTACTCCATGCGTGTCCAAAAGAAAAGCCATCCACCAGACCACCACTGCCTTGCTCCTCAGCAAGCCCGCAGCCCCTGCAGTGGAGGAGACCTTGACCGACGGTGGCCACAGAGTCAAGTCTCCGGCCGGCCGTCACCCACCGGTGGAACAGAGCGCGAGGTACTAATTATATACGAGTGCACCAGCACCTCTGCCCATTTTAGGTATACAATATTGTCCTGTTGCTCTTTTTACGAAAGGTTGGGCCGCGACCAGTGGCGGATGCACGATGCGGGATAAGGGGGGCTAAAACAATGGAGATGTTGATTTGCATGAAGATTTAATGGTGAAATCAAGCTTTTGCTACAGTGATTAGTCTTGAAATCAAGACATTAGGGGGGGCTGGAGCCCCCCCAGCCCCCCCTTTGGATCCGCCACTGGCCGCGACCGCACTGGCATGGCAAGTTCGCTCTATCCTAAAAATAATATAATACTAAATTTTCAAGACAAATTAAACAATTCCAAGTTTAACCAAATATAAACAAAAATACTAATATTTAACATGCATATTAATTATCAGTAAATTAATCATAAAATATACTTTCATAACAAACCTATTTGAAAATACAAATATCTATACTATTTTCTATAAATCTAGTCAAACTTGACATTGTTTGACTCCTGAAGAGGAGATTTACAGTTTTATTAAGACGGAGGGAGCATATCAGAGCTGGCAATGTTGCATGGGAAAAATATTGGTGAATGCACAGGCTGACCTACATACATATTCCACTGTAGCAATCGGTTGGTGCCAATAAGCAGGAAAATATCAAATATATTATCTTGGCGCATTGTGTTTTCACTATTTATTTATTTATATAATAGAAAATTCTGGTGTCAGTCTTCTTCTTAAAAAAAAGCATCACACTAAAGTTAAACAAATACACCCATTTCCGGTTTTCACTAATGTCATGTTATTTTCTATCAGGCCACCTGAAATAAAGTGTGAAGCTGATAAGATAAGTATGAAGCGGGTATGTGTTAGTGGGTTTCAGTGTCACATGCGTACTAACTTTAGGGATACAACATATACTACTACTTTTGTATATAATAAACTAATGTCGATGCCAATAAGCAGGCAAAAGATAGACTGACGTCTTAGTTTAACGTTTTGGGAAAATTGGTTGTGTACCATCGAAAGATCGTGATCTCCGTAAAATACCACCAAAAGTTTGCACCCCCGCAAAATACCACCGAATGGTTGAACCACGAATTGAAAGTAGCATTCTGTTAAAATGAAGTGACGGAGTCGTTATCTGAAACAAAAATACCCCCCCCCCCCGACCGGTGATCGCGTGCGCGACGTATGCGGTGGCCGAGGCGCGGCCGGGCCGGAGCTCGCCCACGCTTCGTCGCCACTGGTGTCGAAGCAGCAACCGAGCTGGTCCGCGGGGGCAATCGTGGTCCGCCTGAGGCTACCACGCACGTGGACGCCAGAAGAGATCAGCCACGCGCTGTGTTGGTATTTGTTAACGCAAAGAGATAAATCTGCAAGCGTAAGGATACCGCTGTAGCTTTCACTCAAGGGTATTCCAAGGTATCGATTTCCACGGGGAACGCAAAGTGTACAAGAAAGGATCAAGGTCGTCCACGGATAGATAAGATGAAATGTTTTTGTGGGTATACAGAGGTTTCCTAAGGTTTTCCAAGATAATCTAGATAACCGAGGATCAGGCTTACTATACTTACTTACTTTGGAGCAACAGTACTTTTCTGACCCTCGAAAGAGGTGAGAAAGAGTAATCGGGGGAAGGCTATCAAAAGCTCTATGGAAATACCAATCCGAACGTGGTGGATTACAAAGGCCGGACAGAGCTGTCATCTCTGGGGTACCACGACTATCCGTGGGATTGGGCGCAAACTCAAGTAAACACTAGTCTAAACACCACATCTATGCTAACGATTACTACTCTACTCACAATCTATAACTAAAGCACTCGATGCGAGTGGAGATCCCATAAGTAAAGTAAAGTAAGAACTGAACTTAATTAAATAGAGAACTTAGAAATAGCAAAAGAAGAATCTGGATATTACTCAAAGATGAGTCGACTCCGTAGAGGTATAAAGTCGAGGAGGATCCGAAAAACCCGGCTCCACCTCAGTCTCTCCTCTCCTCTCTCCCTATTTTCTCTATTACAACTAGGTGAGAGCCACCTAGAGGGATACTACTACAAAATGTATGAAAGAATGAAGCTCTAGTGTGTGTGGTGTGGGGAGCCTCTCCCCTCCTTCTATAGCACTCCAAGGCTAGTTTCTAGAAGAATATTCCACGGAACCATCCTCTAACCGCCTTCAGGGAGTAACTATGGGCTGCCACGTGGACGATGGAGGCGAGGCGCGTGGCCAGGGGTCAGGCGACCCCTAGGGTCAGCCGACACCAGGTAGCACCGTCCCCCAACTGCCTTTGGCTGGCGGGACGTGTGTTGGGCCTGGGCCTGGTCCTCTCTTGCTTGAGCCCAGGTTTATCTGGTAAGTGGCCCTTCTCTATCCTTTCTTGGCCCTTTTTATATTTGCACACATGAAATCTTGTAAATGAGAAATCACCAAAACTTGTGGAATTCATTAGTTATAATCCCTAATGCTAAGTTTGGTGTTCATATGAGGTTTTTATATGATGTTTGGCAGTTGAATTTAGGAGTTAACGACCGCCTACACGCTAGCCAAGCTTCGTGGAGCTGGCGGGCTTAGCCTGCGGTCGAAGCGCCTCCTAAACATTTTGCATTGCTGCATCGTTGTTAGCTTGTTACAGTACAATCTTAGAATGGCTCGGCTCTGCATTGCTGCACGTTTTGCATTCCATTCCTCTGACAAAATTGAAGCAACATCTCAGATCACAATGGACGCACTGACACCGACGCGTGCTTCTCTTCTATCGCCTTGTGGATGGCTGCCACCTGGTTCCTCGTCTTCTCCGCCTACTCTGCCTTCTTCTTCTCGGCCTTCTTGTATGCATAGTTGTCAGTCACGGGGCAACACCCAGTCGACTGGAGGCAGAGCATAGGTCCACATGGAGGCCGGCAGAGGGCGGTGCACAGGGGCATCCGGCGCCCGGTGGAGGCGGTGCACAGCTGCGGTCAGCGGCCTGGTGGAGGCACCGCGCTGATGCCCATGGCGGCTGGTGGAGGCGGTGCCTAGGCCCGCGTGGCGGCTGGCGGAGGCAGCGCGAGATGCCCGTGGTGGCCAGCGGAGGCTGGTGGAGGTGGCGTCAGGGGCGAGCGAGCGGCAGACCCGAGCGTGGAACCGAGCGCGCCATGTGCGTGCTTCCTGTCTTGGATGAATGAGATAGAATAAGGCAAGGGCAAAAAGGTAATTTCATGTTTGGGTTTAAGGCCAGGTGAACGTTTCTATACACAAAAGCTGACGGAATGCTACTTCTAGTTCACGGTACAACCTTTTGGTGGTATTTTACGGGGGCGCAAACTTTCAGTGGTATTTTACAGAGATTGTGATGTTTCAATGCTACACAACCAATTCTCCCGACAGTTTTTAGGTAGCAACTGCTCACCTCACCACATTCCAACTACCCCACTTTGCTTACTCCCCTATGTGGAGACCTATAAATTATAATAGATCCAATTGTAACTATCAGCTATGATGGTAGCAAGTGCTCGCCTCACTGACTTTCCAACTACCCCACTTTGCTTACTCCCCTCTGCAGAGATCTATAAATTACAATCGATCCAATTGTTATTATTAGCTATGATGGTTAGAGTCTACTAAATTAAAAGCTAGATGTTTCTGATTATTATGAGAATTTCTAAGATTTATCTTTTTTTCTAGCGTGCCTGTTAATATTTTTTTGAGAATTACACAGTACAACGTAGATGCCCATAACACGCACGCACACTCACCCCTAAGAACACACGTACGCAAAGCCTACCCCGAAGTCACCACAGGCGCCAAAGCCTACCTCTATGAGCACCTCCGAAGGACTAAGCCAACAGATCTCACGATTCACGATAAGAACACACATACGCAAAGTCTACCCCCTATGAGCACCTTCGAAGAACTAAGCCGGCTGATCTTGAGATTCACGAAGTCACCATAGGCGCCAAAGCCTACCCCTGTGAGCACCTTCGAAGGACTGAGCCAGCAGATCTCGAGATTCACAAAGTAACCACAGGCGCCTCGCTATCGACAGGGACGTCGCCTACCACTGAAAGCATAGCGCCGTTAAATCCTGAAATAAATCCAGAAAAATACGAGCACCCGTGCCCAGTTGAGGACTTGAACCCAGGTGGATAGGTTCCACCACAAGGAACCCAACCAACTGATCTATGATCATATTTAACGTGATGTCTCCATTGGGGCCTCTAATCAGTAATAATAACATTAATATGTTGCTTTCAGTTATCTGTGCCCTGTTTTTTTAGGTCACGTGACGTTGAGGACAGTAGTGACTGGAGCCTTGTGTCATTAATATCCTCCTGATGCAGGGAGTCGCACTATCCCAGATTTGGACATCACTGCCGGTTTAAAAACCCACTTCACTGTCGGATTTTGAACCGACAGTGGCATACCGGCAGTGATGGGGGGTTGACATCACTGCCTGTCCTTAAAAACTGACACTGATCTACAGGAAACAGTGTCGGTTCCTGGCTCCACCTGGCAGTGTCTAGTTGAACAACACTGCCGGTTTGTAGTGCCAACCGATAGTGACGGTTGCTTTAAGAGTGTCAGTTCTTGGCTCAAGCCAGCAGTGTTGAGCAAACCTACACCGTCGGTTCATGGATCAAACCGGCAGTGTTATAGTAAATATCAGTGTCGGTTAATGGATCAAACCGATAGTGTTCTTGTAACTATCAGTGTCGGTTCATGGTTCAAGCCAGCAGTGTTGAGCAAGCCAACACTGTCGGTTTGCTTCTAACCGGCAGTGATGGTAACGACAACACGGCCGGTTTGTTGCTAACCGGCGGTGATGGCCCGTTCGTATTTTATTGTTTTATAATTTATTTTAATTTATATTTTTTCGTGGAATCGGGTTTCGCTTTATATACGCTACGTAGACGACAGGTCCATCAATATTAAACATTACAAATGTTACGATTACAATTCAAATGTTCTTGTCCACATCTCGATCCCTCAAAATAAAAAAGAAATGTTCTTGGACTTCACACATGCTTCTTG